GTCATAAAATATTTACTGTACATATACTGTAGACAGATGGAGCATTATTGGGAGACAGGCTCACTGTTCCTCAGGCTGGGACAGGAGATCACACACTGGGCTGCCAGTTCTCTCTCTCTGGGACGTGAAGATGGCCAGCTATAATGGTAGCTGATGCACGGCTATAATGATTGTTGAAGCCTGACCTCTGGTGGCCACCTGCTGCAACTGCACCCGGGGGACAAGCCCGGACTCCACTGTCCTGCTTGTGAGAAGTGGGATTATAAAGCACACCAGTTCCCATGTCCTTGAAGGGCAGGAGCCTGTAACTACTCTTAGGGAGGTACTGTAAGGAAACTGCTATCGTTATCCTGCAGTTTGTCACTGAACTTTTCCAGGCACACACCTCCTCTTCTACTCTTTGCGTACAGAAGCTTAAATACCCTGTGCTGCTCCTGGTTCCTCCTCCTCCTCTTGTTGATCATGAAGAGCAGTGTCTGTATTTGGTTTTCCCAGGAGATTGGAACGTTTCGGTGGAAACCAGGATGCTGTGCTCCTGCCTTCTGTAGAAATCTCTTCGCATGGTCCTTCAGCATGCACTGTGGCGGCCATGTTTGTAGTCCTGGGGGGCAGGGGGCCTTGTAGTCCTGTGACGCGCGGTGTGTCCGTGTGCTCTTGCCGTAGTTCTGGCAGTTCGGCGAGTGGGTGGACGTGGTGATCGATGACCGGCTGCCGGCGCGAGACGGGAAGCTGCTGTTCGTGCACTCGGCCGAGGGGAACGAGTTCTGGAGCGCCCTGCTGGAGAAGGCCTACGCCAAGTGAGCAGGGAGCAGGGAGGAGGAGGGGGGAGATCGGGGAGGGGCAGTTATACGGGGAGGGGCAGCAGCAGGAGATCGGGGAGGGGCAGTTATACAGGGAGGGGCAGCAGCAGGAGATCGGGGAGGGGCAGTTATAGGGTTAGGGAAGGGGCAGTTACACAGGGAGGAGCAGCAGCAGGAGATCGAGGAGGGGCAGTAATACAGGCAGGGGCAGTTATAGGGTTAGGGAAGGGGCAGTTACACAGGGAGGGGCAGCAGCAGGAGCTCGGGGAGGGGCAGTTATAGGGTTAGGGAAGGGGCAGGGGGAGAAGCTGCACGCTGGCCTGACCTGCCCCCCCCCCAGGGTGAACGGCTGCTACGAGGCTCTGTCCGGGGGCAGCACCTCGGAGGGGTTCGAGGACTTCACGGGCGGCGTGACGGAGATGTACGAGCTGAGGAAGCCGCCCTCCGACCTCTTCACCATCGTCTCCAAGGCCGTGGAGCGGGGCTCCCTGCTGGGCTGCTCCATCGACGTGAGTGGGGGGCCGGGGCGGCGGTCCGGGCAGTACCTGCTCGGGGGGACCCCACTGCCCGCAGCCGCGTCGGCAGGTTTTCCCAGTAAGAGTCGCCGCCGCGCTGGGCTCCGGACCCGGCTAGCGGACGTCTCCCCGGGGAGACAGGACAGAGGGCATTGAAGTGAAAAACACTGTTCCCCTCCTTCCTGAGAGAGGCCTCCTGTCTGTGTGTGCCCTTGTGGGTAATGAGTAGCTGATCGATCATCCGTTTCTTCAGATCGATCGTTGTTTCTTGGGAGGAGCTGGGGTATCGGCTCACAACCACAGGGCTTGTTCCCCCCTCCCACCTCCCCTTAGTGTAAAGAGACGCCCGTCTTGATGCGCCTGTCTGTAATTACACAGTTACCGGTCCGCGGGAGTAATCGGCGACGCTATTTGTAGGGTCGTTGTCGCGGGAACGTTCGCCCTGCGTTGCCGGGAGACGGTAACCGTGCCGCCGTGTCTTCCCTGTCGCCAGATCACCAGCAACCTGGACATGGAGGC